TTATGCGAAAAACTTTCCATTCTCACGTATTTTAGCTCTTTGTGCCTTGGTCAATCCCATGCTCAGTTCTGCGTAATATTACGAACCGGCAAAAGGCGTAATCTCGGAGCTTTGATGCATATCGCTCGTGGTTGTGCGTCAGCTTTTGTTAAATTCGGGTTGAGTCATTGGCACAGTGTGTTGACGGGAAAGCACCCAAGCATGGCTTTCGAAAATTCGAAATTTCGCACAGAAAAGTTAACGGTTAACGAAATCAGCTTATTGTAAAAGCGACCGGCTGTCAGAACTGGGTGCGAATTATAATATTAACTGGAAATTCGCAGATGAGCTTACATTGGAATTTGTGAAACAAAAACGAATTTAATCGAATGGGTTATTTTTGATGCGTAAAGCGCATTTTTTAATAACACAAATTGGCATCAAATGTGTATTATTATCTTATTAATTACGCCATTAACAATTATATTTAATGCGATGATACATTTAAAAGAGCATTTCAAATTCCCCATTATATGACTAAATACGTGTCTTTTGTGTGTTCCGCTTCTTCTTTGTTGTTGTTGTTATGGTTGTTTCATGACATTTTTTACGTATATCCGGTGACGTTGCAAACCTGTTGGCTAAATTCCAGAGAGAAAAAACTCGAGGTGTGTATTCGGGTCTGTGCGCACTGGAGACACCCTTTAAAAAGCTGCGTTTAAATTTCAAAATTTCTGATGGACATGGCTATATCGACTTTGATGCTGACCAAGAATATATATACTTTATGGGGTCAGAGATGCTTCAGTCTGCCTGCATTAGCACAAAATCATATACCCTTTTAGGCATTCTCAATGGTTAGAGGGTATGGAGAGAACAAAACAAATTGTTAAATAAAAGCAACATTTTTTCTGGTCGTTATGTTGGCAATTTGAATATTTTTCATATCTCACATTTGTTTTGTTGTTTAATTAATTAAATTCAATAAATTTTCACTCGCTTGTGACACTTTTGGTGATAATGAGCCGAAGCGGCAAAAACGCCAACATCGATCGAATCTGATTAATGGAATATTCTCCATTTAAATCCTCAAGGTGGACGCCAACCAGCTGATGGACACGGACACGGACACGGACACGGACATGAACACGGAGACGGACGGAGACGGAGCCGGGTGCATTGGACGGCGCTCGATTGGTCCAAGGGAAACTTGCAGCAATTGCAGTTGTTATGACAACGAATTTGTTGTTGCTTTTTTATTAATTTTTTGTTGTTTCTGTAAATATTAATTGCACAGATAGCCAATTGGGGGCCATGTGAAGGCCGCTGCTTACAATTAGGCCGGCATTTCCTGTCGTCCACATAAAATACAACTTTTACTTGCAGCTCGTTTTCGATGAGCCATTTGAATAATATTCAAGTGCGACATCCGCTGCCAAATTCATGCCAACAGCATGTTTAAATGTGGGAGTAGACAATAATTGTTTTTTTTTTACAAGTATTTTATTCACCTGTTAAGTGATCCACCTGTAAAAGGTGGAGCTATCTGTGAAGCGCAGCTAAACTCAACATGCTAATAAATTATTTCTGTAAAACGTTGAAAAAGTTTTTAAAACAGTTTTATTGCTATGAGATTATGGAAAAATAGGGTCTAAAATTAATTTAAACTCCTGATTTAAAGCTCTTTTTGTTAAATTACTTTCTCTAGGAAGGAATATTTCTTAGCTAGAGTCTATTTACATATTTATAGCGAAGCTTAAATATATTTCAAAATTATTAACAAATTTCGATAAAAATTGATATTTAACCAAACCTTTTTCTTTTACAACAAATAATAAAAGAGGAAGGCTTCTGGAATAGTTAAACCAAAATATTTTGGTTGGCTATATTTTATTTGTCTATATTTTAACTGTCTAATTAATTAAGGTACCAAAAACCAGCATATTAAATATTAAATATATTTTTTATATGAATTATTATATTAACATTATTATATATATATGTTAAATTTATTATCATTTAATATATTATATAATTTTTTTTTTATAATATAATATAATTCTTTTTCTTTTTTATTTTTCTCGTGCCGTCTCGCCTTACATAAATATTTTTTAAAATTTTCATAATATTTAAAAAATATTAAAAAAATTGTCTTAGTAATATTTAAAAAATATTTAATGAAAATTATGAAAGTTCAAAACTTAAGCAGATTTTGAGTAATTATGTACAATTGATATAGGAATAATATTGATTAAGTAACTGTCCGACATACAGAGTTTACTATTCTATGTATAAAGTTACGCACAGGGTATTTTGATGTCGATCAACTAGCAGTTGAGAGCACACATATTGGGCAATTAATGACAGTTAGCACAAATTTCGAAATAGTTTTTGATTTCCTGCCTCGTTTTGGACACTGTGTCGTCTGTGGAAGTGGAACGTGTTCGATTTTGCGCACCTCTAAAAATATGAATATAGATATATATATATATGCTTATGCATATATGGCGACATGTAAATCGCATGTGCACGCGGCTAGAGTCCATTTACGAAAGAGATCGTATGTAAATATTTAAATTGAGTCATTAAAAAAAAAATGCATTGCACAATGGAAAACGGCGACAGGAACAACAACTTATTAGACATTATCCATATCGGCCAGACGGCGACGTCCGTGCGTCGCCTCGCCCGGATCCATATAGTATATAGTGTATACGCGATCTCTACTAGGCACACGCTGCGGACCATAATTGATTTATGTCACGAACTTGCCACAGACGTTCAAAGCTACAAGATATAATGTATTTATCAACTGCAATTAATGTGAGAACGCAATATATATAAAACAACAAAAATAAGAAATAAATAAATATGCTTATATAAAGGAAAAACAACGTACAGATAATGCCCACTGAGTCATTGACATCGGCGTATGCTAACCTTAGCCCCCGACCAAATGCATCTCTTTTTCTTTATATGCGCACTATCAATGCGTATGAAAACAAGAAAGAATATGACATAGGCTCGGCTCACCGAAGCCCAAATATCCTTAAAGGAGCTGAGCAAGCTAGGACTTTAAAAACACAAAAGTTGCCCTATGAAGCCCTAGTAGGCCTCCTAATAAGAGTCTTAAATGTCAAGTTTGGTTAAGATATATTGCTAGGCAAATACTTCTACGATTATTCCTAAAGCAGCTATATAACGACTCAATCAGTTCGATTTCAGCCCATGTAGAGCCTGCAGCAGAGGGACATGGCTATAAGGAGCAAGAATCAATATAGCCAGGATATATTATAATAGCCTCGATAAGCGTATGAGAATGCAATATATATAACTTTATTATAAGGCACATAAATCATATATGTGGCGGATGTGATGACATCCGCATATGCGTCCATACTAGCCCGATACCGAGAACCACTTTATCGATAAGTCAAGGCGTTTGATCTTGACCATGGTGGCGCTACGTCAACTTAAGCTATGATCAATTATGGTTCTATCGATCGGAAGTTACGCTATGACGTGCCTACGCACCTATCTAAAAGTATTGAGTAAATGTTGCTATTGATAAGGTATTAGACTTATATTTATTTGGAAATTCTTATAATCATATTGGGTCTTTTTTTGGGTCACAACGTGCATTGCTCAAACGACCACGCCCCTTGCACAGTGGGGCAGTGGAGTACTGAAAATTCAATTGACGATTGATCCCGAAAGACCCCAAGACTGACTCGCAATTTGAGCGATGAGATATATGCATACATATATATATATATATATATGAGAATGTGTGTATAGTTGTTCTCTGTGTTGTCTGGGGTCTAGGTCAACGATCATACGTAGACACATGGTACTTGATTAAATGACAATAAATTACATTTAAATGAATATGGATCACAATTATCGAGAGTACGTCAGCATCAGTCATCATCCACATAAGCACTGAGATTATAAGAAATAATTTAATTTTTTTAAGAATTACCCATACACAATTAAAAAACAATTATACATATAATATAAGAAGAAACCTTTAACCAAGAGATCAAATCAACAATAACAAAGTTTGTTTTTTATTATTAAAATAATTTTTAAAAATATTTAAAAAAAAATTATAGTTCATATTTTTCAAATTAATATAAATAAAACTAAATAGATAGTAAATGTATTAAGAAGAAATTAAATTTGTACTTTCTTCTTAACTTTTTTCTAAACATTTAGCAGTCTTCAAGTCTTCATCTTACAAGACTCTTTCGATTCATTCTTTCTATAACTTAATTAAGAGCTAAACGATTTGATTTCATGCTCTTAAACTGACGTGTGGCACACGATCGCTCTTGAGGCATGCTGCAGTTGCAATAGGGCAGTGACACATATGTAAACATTGCGTGCGCGTCTTACTTGAGTCAACTGCAGCTCTGCAACACTCGCAATTCGCACACGACAACACTCTCTTCCGAAGAAGCAATGGTCGTAAAACAGAAATGGCGAAGAGGCCTAAAAAAACAACGCCATAGACGAAGCGAACAGTAAAAACTGCACTCGCTTTAGGCCGCGCAGCCGTTGTGCAGTTATTGCTATGCTTCGAGCTCTTAGCTGCTGCGATCGCTGTACGCTCACGCGTCAGGCTCTCTCGCCACTTAACTAAATCAACAGTCAGACAAACCAAAACGGTTTTGTGTCGCGCTCATATACGCTGTCGCACTCAGTATCGGGCCGGCAGCCAAAGCCAGCACAAGGCGCACAAAAGGCGGTCTGATGAGATTTTCTGTGTTGTTTTATACGATAAAAAGAAGGATTATTTGAATATATGTATATAAAAAGCGAGCAAAACCGAAACGAGTAAAACGAAATAAAGAAGACGCATTGCCAGGCGAGCGAGTCGCGTGAGCTGTTTTTGTTATTGTTTTTGTTACTGCGCCTTCTTTTGTAAAAAGGCGCGCACAAAAGCAAACAACAACAAGGCAGAGCAGGCGTCTTGTCGGTGTCTGTGTGCGTGCATTTGCGTGTGCGTGTGTTTAGCGCGTGGGATTACAGCAACAAATGCAGTAGCAGCAGCAGCAGCAGCCGCAGCAGCGCAGCAACAGCTCCTTTGTGTACGCATCGCGTGCTAGTTAATTGTGTCGTTGCATTTACAAAAGCAAACAAAAGCAATAGTCCAACAGCCAAACAACAACATCAGCTAATGTGTGTTTAATAGTGTCGGTGTCGTGTCTTTTAGTTTCGAAATTTAAATTTAATTTATTACGAAAACGTCTGCGCTAACCCCCTTCTGCTACATTTTGTATGCGTCATATGTGAAGAAAAAAAGGGCAAAGCCATAGCCCAAGAGCGAAGCAGTTGCCACAACAAAAACAAAAAAAAAATAAAAAAGAAAAGAAAAATAAGAACTACACCCCCGCAGTGTTGCTGCTTCCGCTGCTGCTGCCGGCTGTTTGGCACTGCGCATGTGTGTGGCAACAACAACAACAGCACGAAGCAGCATTTAAAATAAAAGTGAAATGTTCAAGCCGCAACGGTAAATTCTAATTTGTTTTTGCTGGCAGAAGAATTAATAAAGCTTCATAGCTGACTGCAGCGTAGCATCTGCAGCAGCGGCAGCCAAAAGTGGAGTAGCAGCACTTAAGTGTAACGAAAAAAAAGTGCGAGTGTTTTTTTAAGTGTTGCCGACTTAAAGTTATTACATACAAAAGCACATACAAACACTGTTCAAGTGTTGCCGACTTAAAGTTACAACAAATACATATAAATGTGCATATGCATATGCATGCATATATGTAAGTGAATTTGTTGGTATTAACTGCACAACCTGCCAGTGTTTCCATGTTGGCATACGGGAGCAGAAAAATGTGTTACACATGTGGATTCTTGTTTGCCCTGCCTCTGGTGGCCGCGCTTCTCTGTTTGGCGTCGGCAACTGCTGCATCAGCCAATAAGCATCAGCTGCAGATGCATCACAGCCACAGCCATCAACATAACAACAACAACAACAACAATAATAATAATAAAAATAATCACCATTATCAGTATGGCGAGCCAGGGGAGCAGCAGCAACTATCGGGAATGCCTAGCAAAACGAAAAGCGCAGTCTCTGAGGATTTGATGGTAAGTTCTATCAGAATTGATATATCATTTACTAAACTAATGTTGATCGTATACCTAATTTGAATTGCATTGATAGCTAATTTTTCTGAATAGCGATAAATAATCACAATGTGTCTATAATAATTTACCCAGCACACCCTGTTGTTATAATTAGTTCAAATATCCGAATCATTGAATCAGCCCGGCACACCCTGTGTTGTTGATTCTTCATTTTTGCATCTGCCCGGTACACCCTGTAAGCATGCTTTGAAACATATTGTCTGCTTGAATGCTAAAAATATATTTACATTTTTTTTTTTTTAAACCGGAAGAGACACATAAACAATCCGAATTATTTTTTCTAAACACAAAAAGTTTAACGCGCGAAAAATGGAAAATACTTAAATATTCAAACTCTGCTTGAACTCTTTTGTTCTCAATGAAAACCTAACTAACAGAACAATTTATTGTTCTGAAGAACACTCGAAATTGGGCTAATGATTTAAACAGTGATCAGCCAGTTATCAGTAAGGCCAGCCAAAGATTTATAGAAACAAGTCATTCATGATGACTGCAATACAATAAAACTCAAGTTATCTTATCGGCTGTGGAGCAATACATATCTAAAGAGGCACTGACTTTCCGTCTAAGATGCCACTGTTAAAGTTATGTTAAGTGTGTCACTATTTTTTATGCATTATTGAGCCGCAGCGGGGAACATTGTTTTTGAACTTTAAACCAATGTTGATGTTTATCAGATTTTCATTATTTCTGACACTCAAGCAGTTTCGAAACTTTTTTTTTTTATTTTCCAATGGATTTAGCATAAAGTGTGCACACACAAGATTCTGTTATAAATCTTTCTTGGCGCCCGAGCAGGGATCGCAATTTTTCCAACTTCGTCTAATTAAGGTTTCATTGGACGCTATTCGAATTAACAAAATGAATATAATTTAATTCAATATATTGGAATTCATATTTACTTTATTTTTGTCCAATTCCTGCTGCTTAAATTGCTAACCTAAAATGATCTTTGTTGGCGCCCGAGCAAAGATCAAAAACACTTATCATAAGAATTTACATGCACTTTGTAATTAACCTTATATTATTGCAGTGTATTCACCTGTAATTCAATACGATTCCATTAGCTGAGGTATCTTTTGTTTTTAAGTCCTTAAGTCCTTCCACCCTTATGATTCATTGAAGGCAGCTCTTTTTTTCTCCACCCGAAATGCGACACCTGCTCGCTGCACATCCGCCAATCTAATTCTTTGAATTCATTAGAAAACTACCAAGTGACAGAGCAACCAAAAACAACTCGGGAAAACCGCACACAATGAATGGCAAACAAACACAAAGACAACAGACAACAAACAGTTGCAACAACAACAACAACAACAACAACAATAAAGGGGACTTCAATGTCTGCGAATGACATTTTCTTCGCTGCACTTTTGCCAATTAGAATTTGGAAAAGTTGAAAGCAAATTGCAACAGTTGCGCGACAGTGTCAGCAACTTTATAAACAACTCAGTGGCAAGAACAGCAACAACAACAACGACAATTCAATGCGTGCATGTGTGTGCGTGAGTGTGCGTGATTGTGAGTGTGTGTGTGTGTGTGTGTGTGTGTGTGTGTGTGTGTGTGTGTGTAGATAACTGAACTTTATTTCACTTCACTTTCTATGTACATTTTCCGGGCAACTTCCGTTTGGGCATGCAACCGCAATCGCCTTTGCCCCCTTGTTGCATTCTACTGTTGCTGCTTCAACTCCACCACCTCCAGCACCACCCCCCCCCTCTCATTTCTTCCTTCTGCTTCTTGCTGCACCCACTCCCCTATCATTTTGTCTTGGTCTTCGACTTCGACTTCCACTTCGCCGTTTCGTCGTTTATTTGATTACGCGCCACTCATAAGCGCGAGTGCGTGAGTGTATGTGAATACACTCATTGCCATGTGAGTGTATGTCAGCGTCTGCTGGTATGTGAGTGTGTGTGTGTGTGTGTGTGTGTGTGAGTGCGTTTGTTGAACCGGGAGCTGCGGCAGCGCCTAGCTGGCGACACAGCTACGGCCAGACGACGTTGTCGTCGTAGCTGCCGCTGCCACCGCGTCCGTTCGTCATGTGGCACATATCTACTTTGCTATGTACACGCACACAAGCACACACACACACACACACACACACACACACACACACACACACACACACATACACATACATGCGTACATTAAGCGAGGGCGGTTCCATTAATAAGCATAACTCTAAGCATAACTATTGAACACTTTAGACCAGACCTTTGCCGAATTTGCGAAAAGTCTTCTTTAATTGTCTTCGAAACGGATTCCATTAAGCAGATATTTTTGTTTGTATTTTAAATTAATTAAAACCATTGAGCACGCCTAATAAAGATTTAAATGATTCATTTGAATAATTATATAAAATAAAACATATAAATAAATTCCAAATAAATTCTCCCTTATATTTCCACCACTTTTTTATTGTGAATAAATTTAGAAACTTTAAGTTATGCAAATAATAAAATAAATGAATAACAAATAAAAATAATTGAGTGACAGCTTGCACATGAAAACTTTTAGTTTCTAGAAATGGTACTAAATTCCATTAAAAAAAAATAGTTGCATATTCTTCAGTTTGTGAATTCCTCAAAAATTTCTTTAACAGCGAAAAGTCCTTTCAGTTACCCCCGAGTTATTTAAAATAACTGCCCTCTCATACACACACACACACACACATGCACGTATAGCTCGGCATGTATGATATATGCGCCTGTGCCTCGGGTTTCGATATCCTGACTAAATAAACAATATGCGGGCTCGATTGGAGGGCTGCTCGCCACCGTGTTGCAAGTAGTTTTTATTTCAGCTGCTCGCAACGCGACGTCGCTCAATTATAATTTTCTCACTCTGCATTTTGTTGAGGGCCTTTAATAAATGTAAAAATGTTGTCTTTTTATATGCCATTCACGAATACATATACTTAGTTTCTTGTAAGTATATTCTGCATGTCAATCCAGTGGACATGTTGTATAGTCTTGTTAGTGGTGGGCGTATTTAGTGCCACTTGCCACGTCGCGTGTCTGCAGCGGCTTGTGTCTGACTCATCACTGGTTGGGGCGTGGCGGGGCGGGTGGTTCAATGTCCTTAAGACTTTGCCCCGTTGCCTGAGCTCCTTGTGGCACGAATAAATCGCGCATATTTTGATTAAAAATATCAAAAAAAAAAAAAAGAAGAAAAGTAAGGAAAAATTCGCCAAGACGCCCGCGCTTAATGAACGCCTGGTCAGAACGGGGGTTGCTGGGACAGGGGTAGGGTTGGGGGTAGGCGGCATGGCAACTATGTTTAGTATGAATAACGGCTCGAATGTGAATGTGAATGTGAATATGAATGCGAACGCGTATATCCTAGCGGGCAGACAAAATGCATTAAGCCCTGGACTGCAGCCAAAACAAAAAGCGTGCATTGTGCGCTCAGCAACAGCTAACATATCGTGCATATATATATATATATATAATATATATACATATAGTATATTTATATATATATCAAGAGTATATATATATATGCATGCAATTATGTATGCAGCGCAACTCTTTGTGTGTGTGTGTGTGTAGTTCGTTTTGGGATTTTGGGGTCATACACTGAGAGAAAAAGCCTACTATAAATTGAAGTATGTGTGGGCAAGAATGAAATGCAATTTCTGGTTAAAAAATTACGAATACTTTGTGCTGAAGTATTCTTAACTTAAATATGAATAATATTTTTTTTTTATTTCCATTTTTAGACTTTTTACTTTTTTTACAACACTAGCATAAATTTATAACATTCAAAACATAAACTCATGCATTTTGGGTTTTTATAGCAAATATTAGAATTAGAAAAAATTTCTTTTTAAGAACTTGAATTTTGTAGAGTAACAACTTTTGACTTGTTGTATGCCCTTTATCCAGTGTAACCGGTTAAAAAGGGCAAACTGTTTTTCTCTGAGTGTAGGCACGCGACGCCGGGCAGCCCATCTGCAGAGAGTCGGGCAGCCTTATCTTGATGTTGGTCCGCTTGGAAAATGCATAGCCCCAGATCTATATATGTTAATATTTATGTATATGTATATATATATATATACATATGTATATGTATGCATATGTATGCGTGGCTGTGTGCTTGTAGCGCATGTAAATGTGCTACTGGGCGCTGCATGTGCATTTCTATGTGTTGATTTTATTTCCAGTTGTTAAAGTTATTGTCGTTGTTTGTTGCTGTCGTTGCAGCAGTTGTTGTTGTTGCTGTTGTTGTTGCAGTTGTTGCTACTGACCTCCGGTGCACGCATTTCATGTTCTTCTATTTGTGTGCACACGCAGTGTGTTGGGAATTCGTATTTGTTTACCAGCAATTTTCATTGTACATTCATAATTGTTAATAATGCATAACGCTCACGACTGCAATTGCAATTCATTTATCGTTGCACATTTTTGGCTTAAGCTTCATTAAACGTTTCGACTTTACAAATTGTTTAATTCGCGCCAGATAAGTATTTAATAATTAGCAAAGCATAGCATAGGCATATAGGCAAATAAATCAGAAAAATTAAAATAATAAATATAAATACAAAATATAGCTTACAAATCAATTATTTTTCAGCCTTTTTTGTATACATCCAATCTTTAAGAAATGCGTATTTTTGCAATTTCATAAAGACAGAATCCTCATGAAGATTTTCAATTCAAATTGATTCTTGATCAAATTTGATTAACAACAGCCAACTCGAGATATATATTCCAGCAAGCCAGTCTCTCAGCTTAAAGCTAAAGTCGTACAGCTTTGCATCAGTCTGTCTATGGATCGTAAAACTATATCATATAGCAGCCATAGAAAAAAACGGTTGAAAATTAAATTGAGCAATATCTTATCAATATCGGAGTACTATAACTCTTTCAATAGAAACATTAAAAAAATAGTTTCCTTTTGCCATTTCTTGCTCGATTTCTCTTACTAAAGAACCTCAG